TGGTGATCGTAGATGATGCCATTCTCGAAATATTGAGACTCGAACTTTTTAGTTTAATGACCAAAATCGAGCGATTGATCGATAAATCAGAGGAATCGTTCAATCCATGATTCGCATAAACAATTCTTATTGGCAAATAATAAGTTTTAGGTCTCTAACTATTACGATCAGAGAAAGAGGTCGATTTAACCGAAAATCGAACTTACGGGTTTTACAGAATCCCAAAATTTTATTTTATTAAATAGAGTCTATTTTATTGTTGGCCATCAAAAGCTAAATCGGGAAAAATGAGTTTGATGAAAAAATATGCTTCCACAATTGTACAAAAACCAATCGAAGTTTTAACTTTGACCTCGATTTTCTCGATAACTAACTATCTGAGAAACTTTTGAGTCACACGAAAGGACACAGTTTTTAATTTCCTACAAATATGCAGAGTTTAAATTTAACAGAAATTCATTTTGACCCGTTTTTGCCCATTTGTGTTTCAGTATTTTTGTAATATTGTGTAAAATTGTGTATAAATGCTACAATAGTGTTTATTGTGTCTTTTTAGTAAAAATTGTCAAACACAAGCATAACAAATATTGGTAACTGTTTGTTTTGTGTGTTGAACAGTTCGACTTTCGTGAAGTGATGGTGTAGCTTGTTCATATAACCAACAAAATATTAAAATTTATCAAAACAAGCTCAAGAATGTCGAGGAATTCACTAAATAATGTTCAGAAAATCGATGGATGTTTTGCATCTTTTATTTTATTCAAGCTAAAGTTGCTTGCATTCAGCGAATTTATGGCCAACCTGCAACAGCCTGCTTTTCACCTAAATGGATTTGGTCACCTTCCAGTTGATTCCGAATGAGAAAGAGCATTTACTCGAACCTTTTCTTTTGTTCAAATTCAAATAAATTCAATACTTTTTTGCATAATAAGCAAAATTGTCGTGTTGTTTTATTCGAGAAATTATGTGCAATGGCAATTGAAGACTAGTTTCATCACCAAGTAGCTCAGGTTTTCACTCTGTGCGTTTCTGTTTTAGCTAAGCCAAAATAATTTCACGAATTTGTAGATTTAAAAGGTGAATCTGTTCATTTCATGCATTTCAAACATGCCTTGCTAGCTGTTGGTCTTGTGTAGCTCTCACTCTGTTAGGAAACTGAACAGAGACTGAACAACCATGTTTCACATTTTTGGCCCAGACGAATATGCATCTAAAACCATTCATTCATATTTGAACATTGATTCAATACTCAAGTTTGATCCATATTTGCTGCTTCAAGCACTAAATTGAGATCTTAATATAATAAGATTACAAATTATAAATATTATTGATCTGGCAGGAAAAGATCGGCAATTCTTGGACGCGATAAATTATAATTTAACAGTGAACTGATTTCAAATTAAGCCTTTTTATAGCAACTGCCATGCAATAAAATTGAACATTAAGATAAATTTATTCTTGACAGCATTAATGAATTAAATCAATTTAGTTATTATTAATGATAAAAAATTTATCCATATCAAAATTGAATTTAGTATTTTGGCGCCAAACTCTTGGATCATCTGTTATGAGTTAAAATAAACAGGCAACTTGCATGCTGTTTAAAGGTTTGCCTAACTCCATCCAATTTCATAATAATTTCAACATTTATTATTTTGAACTGTTGCTGAACTGTTTAATCTTGACTCTATGTATTTTAGTTTCAAGTTTAAAAATAAAATCTCGTCATAAGAAAAAAATCCTTATTATTAATATTTACACTATTTCTAGTGCTTGACTCTCAAAGCATAAACATGAACCGTGAATGCAATTTTTGTTCACAGCCTGGTGCTAGCTATGTTTGCCCAAAGTGTGGTCTTTTCTATTGTTCTTTGAATTGTTATCGTCATCGTAATCATCTAGAGTGTACAGAACATTTTTACAAAGATTTGGTACTTCAAGAGCTGTCCTTGAATACAAACACACAATTGAAGGAGGAAACGATGAAGCTGTTGGAAAGGATGAATTTAGAAGATGAATCACTTGATTTTCAATCACTATTGGATGACGTAGATTGTGCTGGTAAATCTTCGTCTATCTTGGGCCAACTTACTGATGAATACGGTCTACCTGTTGAGGAAAGAGCCAAGTTTGATAAGCTAGTTGAAAATGGAGCTATCTTTAACTTACTTCCAGCTCATTTTTGGGACCCTTGGTATGTCAAAGTTTCTCAAAACTTGATGTTAAAGACTGAAGACGACAAATCTGGTCCTGATAACGAGTATGACGAAGTTGAAAAAGAAAGCGAACACAATTTATATGACGAAATCGACGAAAATGATTATGATGATATTCCAAGTTATCCTACAGATTTACCTAAACTTGCTGAGATTATGAGACAAGAGCCTTCTCCATTGATTAAATGTGCCTTGATTCAAACAATTTTCTCATATTGTGCGATTTGTCGATATTTTGTTGGTAGTCATCTATCTTCTCCTTTGGAACCTTACAATTTAATGGTCGAGCTTTCAGCCCTTGATTCAACGAAAATATCTTATCCAACAACTGGTCAATGCTTACAATTTGTTAGCAGACATTTAATTGAACAAGTTCAAATGCCTTTATGTTTTGTTGAAAAGCTTTATACGGACACTTCGCTAATCATTAAAACTGGAAATCGTTTAGTACTAAGATGTCTGGTCGACATTGTTAAGCTATTCAAAGGAGCAAAAAAGAAGAGACATCCAAAAAGTGATGAAATTAGTCGAATAATTCGGAAAGTGAAATTTTACATGAGTTGGTGTGTCGAACACGAGGCATTATATCAATCAGATTTACCCAGCGTTCACTTTGAAGCTTTATCGTTGAAAGAACTGATAAATGAGAATCAAGAAATAAAGAACCGTGGTGAGATTTCGATTTCCAAAAATGCAGATGAAACTAATCGAAAGCTGATTGAAATTGTTGAATAAAAAACTTGACTGGTCCTACATTGAAATGAAGATCTGTCCAAGGCAAAAGGACTAAAGGGTGTCAAATTTAATTCCAAGCAAACTGGTGGAGCTTACTATCTTTTTATCACAAATTAAAATAGATAAGCACAGATATCATAAACCATAGACACAAACC